TTGTTTGGTCGTTTTACTTTCACAAATCGTGCTAGTGTTCTTTGACGTTATGTGTATATGTCTTTATAACTGTTTTGGTGGTCTAATGAATCTGTAAATCAATGTTTTATTCATAGTATCACAAGGGGTTATTTTATTTGCTTATGCAATTTGCAATCTTGCAATTTATGTCTTTAGAAATAGCTCATTGGTTTCATGAGTCCCGTTAATAATTTTTATGGGCTACATTTGTTAACGTTTGTGTCATTACTTCAAAATTTCAACAGGTTCAAAGTTTTATGCCTAGTACTTGTAGTTCATAAAAATTAGTTAAGAAGAATTCAACAAATAGATATATTTAAACATTATTGATGCTGGATATATGGCCGTATTAGAAATAGCTGTATGGTTAACCAAAAAAAATTTAGTTGATTCAAATTAAATTACATTTTAACGTCAGTTATGATTTTAGTGAATAATTTACTATATACAAACTATTGTATTTAAAGAGCAGTTTCGAACAGTGCTGAACTACAACAAACATTTTTTTTAAAAATGTTTAATTTATTTTTGGATAACTATACCACTGTTTGGAATATTGTGAAAATCCCGATTGATTCTTTGTATAGGTGTTTTGTCCGCTTCGGACGTTGGCTAACATGATTGCGACTTTGACTTTATCTACAGTCTCTCGAAAAAGTAGTCTTGTACTTTTATTGAACCATTGTCACGTCCACCTTCAATTCTACCTTCAATGATTAAGTTTAGTAGTTCATACTTTTCCGGATGCTTGAGAAGATGACCGAAAAATTCTAACTTTTGTTGTTTTATTGTCCCTAGTATTTCTGTCTCTTTGTTGACACGCCGAAGTAAAACTGCATTTGTAATTCTTTCTGTTCAGCTTATTTTCAACATGCATCGATAGCACCACAGACAACATGAGATGCAAGAGACAACGTCCAGGCCTCTGTCCCGTAGAAAAGTATAGATTATGTATAACAACGCAACATTCTTATTTTAAACGGTAAAGACAGTTCCAGGGAACACATCAAATTTTTCATGTTGATAAAAAAACTGTTGCTTTTTCAATTTAGACGCCTATTTCTTTATTATTTTCCCTTTGTTTATCAAGCTGGCTTCCCAAATAGATGTACTTATCTGTTCCTTTGGCTGAGCCAAATACTGTTAGTCTTCCTCTAAAAATAGGTCGTTTGCTCACCACCATATATTGGGTTTTAGTGCAATTTAATTTTAAGCGTTATTCTCTGCACTTCATAACAACAGTGTTTAAAAGATTCTGCAAGCCCTCTAGTGAATCAATGAGCACAGTCTCATCGGGCTACCTCAAATTGTTTATGAGTAACCCGTCGCGTCGTGTAGTGCTTCTTTGAAAAAGGTTTCCGAGTATATATTGAACATTAATATATTAATAGTTGATTAAAATTTATATTCTTGAGTTTTCTGATTATGATCCCCTTTTTTATATGAAGCAAAATTTTGAATCTAATTGAAAAAAAACTTTAATTAATTTGTTTTTATCAGAAAAACCAAGATGCGTATTAAAGGAGCCTCGTGATATAAGTGACAGCCAAATTAAAACTCAATACGGATGAGTTTAGTTGAAATTTGATATCATACTTTGGTGGCTTGTGTTTATATCAATAAAAAGTTATTTCTGTTTTTACGAGAAATAATTAAAAAAATTAATTAAACAATTAATAAAATTAATTCAACAATTAATTAATAAAAATATTAATATTAGTGTTATTTTTATGACTATTATACGTTGAAAGCGTCCTAGAACAACTTGTATACAGGAATATATAATTTTTAAATAAAAATTTAATAACATAAATGCGGTTAAAATTTGTCGCATAGAGAATATGAGAGTTTATTTACTTTTTATTTATTGGATTTTTTCACATATCAAATAAATTTGAATATAAATTGTATGTCATTAAACACACATTGTAGTTAAGCATTTCATAAGCAGTAAAACGGAAAATTCCTGATAGTCATGCATAATGGTACCGGAAGAACGTTGCAGTTCGGTATTAGCACAAAAATTCAATTTACTTGGGATTACCTTTTTTCAGGTTTGTTTTTTTGTAATTTATTCCATCAGCGCAAGTGCAGCAGGTGAGTCAGCACCCGATCTATGCAGCTGCTTTGTCAAAAGCATGAAACAAAGTGCATATGGAATAGAGCACTATTCTGGCGAAGGCACCTTTGCTCATACATCTCTACTATGCGAAGCACATATGTGCACTTTCCAATGTGTGCTTGTGTTGTGTTATTACAAGTGCAATGCAATTTACGCATAAACTACAAACACCCGTCTTCCACAGCAAATATTTGAATTTTCTTTAAAATACATTTAAAAAATGAAAATTTAAGGAAAACTATTATAGAAAATATGAAAAACATTCAGAACACAAGTCGAGCTACCGCATACTCCTGGAGCTGTGTTTATGAAGCTGGCTGCGTACATGCGTCTGTGTTCAATGTTGTTAAGAATAAATGAAAACTTTATGCAAATATGCACTCGTAAAATAGCAGAAAAGGTAATCGCATATTTGTGCTAAGAGAATTTTTTTTACAAAATTTGATAGTACAAAACACAGGAAAATGATATATGAATAAGTTTGCTTTGGTAGTGGTTCACATTTGGCAAACGATAGTGGAATCCTCTATTTATGGTGGAATATTGCCGCAATGCATTCTCAGCTCATTTCTGTCTTTGGCAGTGAAAGTAAATTGCACTTAAATTTTTGAATATTTGTTTTGGCTTGTGGCGTTAGAGATATTTAGATGCATTCACCAAAATAATTTTTGGTGTTTACGAAAATATTCAGTTCATTACAAACAGAATTTTATTTGAATGATAAAATATTATATTTATATGGCGAAGCATTTTACATTATAAAATATATAAAAAAATTATTATAACAGCACACTTCTTATTTTAAATCATATTACCTATATGATATGGAAAGATATATCGTTCCTATGGGCTACAAAGTTATTAACGAAGTGAAGTAGTCGATAAAGTGTTTGTGTGTATTTGTAATCGCAACGAGACACATAAATATAAATGATATTAAACATTCGTTTTGGTTGTTAAAAGTAGGTATTGGTCAAAATTGAATAACTACATCCTGAAACTATCATGTGTATTTGACAATATTCGAATTAGCTGTATGTTCAACCCAGAATTCCATTAATTAGAAAATAATAAAAATAAATAAAAATAATTTTTATTTAAATTTTTCTATTGTCTGATAAAAACTTCTCTATTGAAAACCTTTCTATTTGTCAAATAAAAGGCTTGAGTATTCGTTTGATACTGATTTTATTTTGAAAATTATTCTCTATTTATACAAAATTGTCTTAACATAACTTAACTACATTTACAAATAAGGGTTGAAATAATTTGTTGCCTGTTATCATTTATTTTAGTGGACTGTATAATTTTAGTTGCATTTTATTGCTGTCGCAAAGGTTCATAAAATTCTGGCACGTAGGATTTTTATTATTTTACAATTATATTTTTATTATCGATACGGTGCCATGTATTTTAAAATGTGTTTAATATTCTTTAATATCTTTAGTTTTGGGATTTTTTTATTACCCGTGATTTTTCCTTCTTATTTAATTCTAAGAATTTAAACGATAACAGACATAAATAAATAACTATAAATTTAGGCACATCTTGCCAGCGTTTGAAAAAAGATACAATTTTAATTTTAATAGTTTTAGGATTGTATGTCCTAAAATAACATGTTCATTATTGAACATTCTGCCAGAACTTTTAAATGCAGAGTCATGTAAAGATCGAATTAAATAAAATATAATTTTAACAGATAATATAAAATAATAAGATTATATAATTAACATTATAAATTAAAACAATGTTCATTCTTGAACATACTGCCATCTCATTTAAAACGCAGAATCGTGGATTCTGCAAAATAATTATTTCAATATATAATAAAATATAATCTGACATAGTTACAAAAGGTTGAATTAAATATAATAATTTTTTTTTTTTTAAAAATAATATAATAGGATTGTATTAACATTATGCATGAAAGTATATTTTTAAATTTCGTACAATTTTTCATAACTTATAATCTATGTTCACTCCTGAACATTCTGCCGGCGGGTAGAAATTGCAATAGCTAGTAGTTGTCTTCTTCTTATTGTTGCTCGAACTAGGTAGATTATTATTGCTATTATCACTATTGAAGTTAACCCAAGTGCTGCGTGCCCAGATACGTGATGAAAATGCAAATCTTTTAGCTTCACTGCGTTACTCTTTATATCGTTTAGTTGCTTATTTATTTGATTAATTTCTTCTTTGTTATTTATTTTCCAATGGTGCCAGGGTTTTATATTACTATTATTTATTATAATTGCATCTTTAGTAACTGGCTTGATTACTTCTACTATCGTGGAGCTTTGCAGATTACTAGAGGATGTTAATGTTGTTTCTCTTATGCGTGCCATACATCCTTCTGTTAGTGATAGAATGCCTTGACCTGATAGAGTTATTATTTCTTCTATTGAATTTGAGCATCTAATGTGGGCAGATTCTTGTCTAAAAGTTTTGAATATCCAACTATTCTGTCGGTATAATTTGACCCAAATGGAAGAATTATTTACTTCTTCGTAGTGACAATTATCTTGATTAGTTGGTTTTAGTGGTGATATTTCACAAGAATTATCGTTTGCATCCTTCCACGGAAAATTACCTTCACAAGTAAATTGTTGTTCTTCTATCTTATTGCGTTGACTCCATGTCAGAGGATCCATCAATTGATATGCATTTATTTCGAGATTATATAGTAAAAATGATGACATAACTTTCGGAATTATATATTTTACACCTTGATTGATTGATATAGGTATTATTTTATATATCGTAGATGATTGCTTGCTGAACAGTGGAATTTTTGCGTTAATTACTAATTTGTTTCCAATAAATAGCCCTTTTGCTTTTAATAACTTGTATATGGGTTCTAACTCCGTTCCAGTTTTTTACCAGGTAGCATTTGATTTTCGGGAATTATATCTCTTATTTTTATTATTTCGCGATGTAACTGTGATGGTTTTATAAGTGCTGGATTTAATTTTCCATGGTTAACGTCCATTAAGAGTTCCATTACTTCAGATTGAATTTGAGAACATTCTTCTATCATATCTGATAACTGTCTTGTTACCATAAAAAAATTTATTGATTCCTTATAAACAAGATAAGTTTCATTCAAAGCAGTGTTTATGGATTCAACTCTTTCATGAATTTCATTGTATTGTTGCTGAATTTCTTCAGATGTGCGTTTTAATATATTTACTGTTGTTTCTACTACCGACGTTTGTCTTTCAGTCATCTTTTTTAAATTATGTTGATTTTCTAGAAGATTATTCATATCTTCTTCTAAAGCTTTTCGGTCATCTTCATCCATCATTCCGAATAGGAGGTGATAAAATGAACCAATGAATGCCAACGGCGCTCTTTTTCTCTTCTCTCGTACAGACCATATAAATAACTTATTACCATCGTTTATATCTGATAATTTTCTCAGCATTGTATTTAATATATTCTTACATTGGTCAGCAAAATTTAGTAATTTGGGACATATATTATTAGCTTTGCTAAGAATATCCTCTGCGTTTTTAGCCATATCAAAGTATGGTTGCATATCATAATATATTATTAGATTCCAAGCTGATGTTTCTGAAGTGACTTCTCCAATCATGTCCAAATATAACGTTGTTTTATTATTTAGTTCTTGTACTGACGCAACTGATGATTTTACCACTGCTTTTACTTTTGGTAAAACACATAACATTAAAAAATACAAGGTGGTCCATGCTAGCTTTGTGGTTCTTAATTTTACGTTTGATTTTATGTTTAAGTTGCAATAAACTTCGTCTGTTTTCGCCTGGTTCTTATCATAGATTGTGTCAGAATCCATCAAGGAGCAAAGTTTGTGAATTGGTCTTTTTAATTTTCCATTTTTAGTTTTAAGCTCTACTACTCGTACTTTTCCATCCTTACCTTTAAATACTTCTGTAATTTTTCCTAATGGCCATCTAGTAGGCGCGGTATTTTCATCTTTAATAATTACTACTTGCCCCTCTGCTAAGTTCGGTTTTTCTCTAAACCATTTGTTTCGTTTTTGTAGAGACGTGACATATTCATTTTTCCATTTTTTCCAAAAATCTGTTTTAATTTTTTGTACAAGTTTCCAACGGTTTATTAAACTTATATTATTTTTGACTTCAGTTTCTGGTTCGTCTAATATTGGACGACCTATTAAGAAATGTCCAGGTGTAAGAACATCAATACTGTCTATATCGCTACTTGTATAGCAAAGTGGTCGTGAATTGAGTACTGCTTCAATTTGATTTAGAAGTGTAGTCATCTCTTCAAATGTTAGTTTTGTTTCACCTATTACGCGCTTCAAATGATATTTCACGGATTTTACAGCAGCTTCCCATATACCGCCAAAATGCGGACTTGCCGGAGGAATAAAATGCCATTCAATTTTTTCTGCTGCAAGAATTGGTACCATCGATGTATTATTTTTGATCGCATTTCCAAACTCTTTATCTAATTTTTTTAATGCGCCAATAAAATTAGTGCCATTATCTGAATATAAATGTGCACTCTTCCCACGCTTTGAAAAGATCCTTTTTAATGCAGCTATAAATGCTTCTGATGATAAGTCGCTTACTGCCTCTAAATGAATTGTTTTTGTGCACATGCATACAAATACTGCGATGTAACCTTTGAATGATTTTTGACCGCGACCTTTAGAATACCTCATGTATATGGGTCCTGCGTAATCAATACCTGTGTGTTCGAATGGATGGGATATATTTATTCTGTAACTAGGTATATATCCCATTATTTGTTTAGCAAAATTTTGATTGAATCGAATGCATCTTATACACTTGTGGCATATCTTTTTTATAGTTTTCCTCATTTCTAATATCCAAAATCGTCGTTTTATATGTGTTTCCATCGATGATTGCCCACCATGTAGTGTTGATTGATGTGCTTGATATATTACTAATTCTGAATATCGATCTTTAGCTAGAATCACTGGATGTTTTTGATTATATGTAATGTTCGCGTTTTGTAGTCTTCCTCCTACTCTTAATATTCCATTTTTATCTATAAATGGTCGTAATTGAATTAGTTTGCTATTCATTTTTATTTCCTTCCCTTGTTTAATGCTTGATATTTCTGAAGAAAAATGTGTAAGTTGGTGCTGACGAATTATTTTATTTCTTGCTTTATCTAGTTCTTCCTTTGATAAATGATTTGAATTTTTTGATTTATTTTTCAAACAGTTAATAAATCGTAAAACATATGCTATGGTTCTTTCTAGTTTTGATATTTTTGATATTTTTTCTATCAATCGCTCAAAAAATTATTATCTGAAATTAAAGTCGTGATAACTGTTGACATTCCATTTAATTTTTCATCATTTGGCCATTCTTCCTTTGGTTTTACTAACCATGCAGGCCCATGCCACCATAGCATGTAATCTTTTAATTTGTTTGCACAGATGCCTCTAGGTGCTATATCAGCTGGATTATCTTTTGATCTTATATGACGCCATTCAGTTTCTGGAATTAAATTTTTAATTTCTGTTGCACGAGTTCTTACAAACTTCTCTTTGTTTTTTGGTTCTTTTAGCCACCATAACGTGATTGCAGAATCGCTCCAACAATAAGTTTTTGGATTTGTATTTAAAATTTTAATTATTTTACTCATTAGTTTTGCTAATAAGTGAGCTCCACATAGTTCTAGCTTGGGAATAGTCTTCTTGTTTTTTATTGGTGCTACTTTGCTCTTTGCAGTCAATAGGTTTATATGTAAACCGATTTTGATGTATATTACCGCTGCATAAGCGGCTTCAGATGCATCCGAGAATCCATGTAACTCCCAATTATCTGAACTCGAGACTCCCATCCATCTTGGAATTCGAATTTGCTCCACTGTTTGTATATTTTTATTATATTCTTTGAATTCATTATGAATTTGCTCATTTAAGTTTTCATCCCAATCATATTTTAATTGCCAAAGTTTTTGAATAAATAATTTTGCGATAATTGTTATTGGTGTTAACCAACCTAATGGGTCAAACATTTTTGCGTATATTGACAATACCATTCTTTTAGTTATTTTCTCATTTGATAATATATTTATTGTGAATTGGAATTCATCCTTTTTTGGATTCCATTTCAATCCTAGTGTTTTTATTGAATTATCTTCCTCTATGCACAGTATTTTATTTTCGGCGTCAATGGGAAGATTTTTCAAGATTGATTGATTATTGGACATCCATTTCCGCAATTTAAATCCAGCGCTGCTTAAACATTTGAAAATTGTATTGGTTTTATTTCTACAATCTAATTTTGTATCAGCGCCAGTCAATAAGTCATCCATATAAAAATCATCTTTAATTGTATTTTTAATAAGAATGTCTCCATTATAGTCTTCAGCAATTTGTTGTAATGTGCGAACTGCTAAAAATGGGGCCGAAGCAGTTCCATAAGTAACTGTGTTAATTTAAATTCCGCAATTCTGTCTGTTGGATTTTCTCTCCAAAGTATACGTTGATAATCTTGATGCTCTTCTGCAATTTTTATTTGTCTATACATTTTTTCCACATCTGCTGTCACCACGAATTTCCATAACCTCCATTTTATTATTATGTCAAATATGTCTTTTTGTAATCGCGGTCCGGTCATCATGATATTATTAAGACTATTTCCATTTGTTGTTTTAGCGGACGCATCAAAAACTACACGTAGTTTCGTTGTTGAACTTGCTTCTCTGATTACAGCCTGATGAGGCATATAGTACAACCCTTCATTTTCATTTTCTGCTTTGACCATATGACCTAAACGTTCGTATTCTCGCATAAACTCTATGTATTCTGACTTAATTTCTTTCTTCATTTTCTTCTCTAGGTTGATTAGTCTTGCTACTGCTTGTTTTCTAGAATTCCCTAAAGACAATTCTTCTTTAAATGGAATTTGCACCATGTATCTACCGTCTGTATCTCTTGTTGTAGTTGTTTTATATAGTTCTTGACATTTTTCATCTTCTTGTAAGTTTGTGTTGTTTTCATCGTCTATTTCCCAAAATCGCTCTAAATTTAAA